TGCCACAACGTCAATGTACCCCATCTTTGGCAGGTCCTACACTAACAGCCTAATGTCTGCTCTTATGAGATTAACCACTTACTTGAGGAAAAAAAAATCCATCTGGGGCTCTCTGCAGTACAAGGCTAAATAGGGCCCTGGGATGAGGCACCTGTGACAGGGAGGGGTGCAAAACCAAGGAGTTGGCTAGACTCCAAATATATACATATGAAACAAGGGGGGGTTGGCTGCACTCACCTGAACATGCATAAATGGGGTGCTGGGGTTAATACAAAACACAAGATCCAGCGCACTCACCTATCCACTAAACAGCAACTTCAATGTTGAAAGATTTTATTAGTTTTTTTAAAAACACCTAATCTAGGCAAAAATAATGGGGGTTTAGTTACATTATATGATCATACATTGCATAAGCCTGCCACAACGTCAATGTACCCCATCTTTGGCAGGTCCTACACTAACAGCCTAATGTCTGCTCTTATGAGATTAACCACTTACTTGAGGAAAAAATCCATCTTCTCTGCAGTACAAGGCCTTGTACTGCAGAGAGCCCCAGATGGATTTTTTCCTCAAGTAAGTGGTGCCTAGATTAGGTGTTTTTAAAAAACAATAAAATCTTTCAACATTGAAGTTGCTGTTTAGTGGATAAGTGAGTGCTGGATCTTGTGTTTTGTATTATTTGGCCCCCAGCAGCACCCCCATTTATGCATGTTCAGGTGAGTGCAGCCAACCCCCCCTTGTTTCATATGTGTATATATATATATATATATATATATATATATATATATATTCAAAATCATTGAAGTTTTATGTAATTTCCATACATTTGTTTTTAAAGTGGTATCAAGATCTAGATTGCAAACATCCAGCTCACATACAATTTATATCTACAGTTTACTTAGGAAGTGCAACAATATTTCAAGGCACACTTCACTGTCCAGGTAAAAATTCAAATCACTATTTAGTACATATAGCCTTTTTTCATTGGGGATATATCCAAAAGCAACTTGCAAAAGCTGCAAAACTCTTTTCTGTTGCTATTGCATACCCTCCCCTTCTAACCTAGCACAGACCTTCTGTGGCTGTTCAATCACAGGCTTTCAAGTGCAGCTTAGTGAGTGTTTTTGATGCAGGTGCTCTGGTCAAATGCCTGCCAATTGTGTTAAGCTTCACTGAGCTAAATAAACCAGGAAGTAACGGGACCTGTTGTCTGCTTGAAAGCCACGAGGTGTAACAAGGTTAATTTCTAAAAGTGCCAATTTTGATTGAAATCCTCACTTTATGTAAATTAAAATACAGAGAACACTCTCTTCACACATAAAAAATTTCAGCAAATTAAAGCACTTCAAGGGTCCGGAGTGTCCCTTTAATTATGCATTACTATTAAATTAGTTTCATAGGTATTACAATTCCTATGTTAGTAATTGTATATATTAGAAAAAGTAATGGGTGCACATGCATTGTCCTAGTTTAATAAAAAAAGTTTTACGGTTTGTTAGAAAGAAGGCTAATTTTATATCTTTCAGTTACTTTTTTTTTTTTCATAACATTTTGAAAATAAATTGGCTTAAAAATATATTAAAATAGAACAACCTTTAGATGCATTGTGTGAAGCTGTAGCCTGGATTGTTTTCAATAATGTTATGGAATTCATATTTATTTGTTTAACCTTGTATGTTTCCAAGTAACCAGAAAATTGTAGATATTAAAACATATTTTCAATTGTGTAAATACTAAGAATGCAGACAGAAATGTCAAAAAAATCCATTACTGAAACCCCTACTGATAAACTAAAAAGTTAATATATATTCCAGAGTTTGTACTTTTGTCAAACATTCAGTCTAACTGTGAGGCTGTCTGTTATGTCTCATTAGTTTCTAACATTTTGTCTCATAAAATACATATTGCATTATGAGCCTGACAATAGCGTGATGGTATAGTCAGCTTATATTATTATTATTATTATTTTATTATTTATATGGCGCCAGCAAAATTCCATAGCGCTGTACAATGGCTATTATGACAATCTACTAGGAACGTTTAGTAAACAAAACTATCCATCCTAATTGAAATGGAAGTATTCTAATGTATGAGATGATCTTATGCCAGTATGCTGTTGGGATTTTTTTTTCATGAGGTGTTTCTGTTATGTTCAATATATTATTTTTTTGCTTACAGCTTCCCATCTTCTCATTGGCTCTTCTTACATCCGTTGAAACAACCAACCCCTGAGGATGTCAACTACTGTGTTATGCAGCAATTTAGAACCAAAAAATACTTAGCAAAAAAAAGAAAGCAAGAAATATCTAACAGCTTGATTGTTGAGCATAATATGACAATATGAAAATCTATTTCAATAGTGTTTATTTTTTAAGGCATGCAAATCAGCTTACCACAGTGCTCATGATTGCAAAAATGAATGAACTGAAACTGGTACAGGTTACATTATTGCTCGGAATGGAATTCTAAATGCAATAATACTAGGATGATCTTTTGTTCTCTCTTTATTGCATTATAGAATTTGAGGGGTACGTGGCAGAGAACAGTAGCAATTTGATTCAACTCTATCAGCCATTTTGAAATTTTGACATTGTTGACAAACACTTTGCTGTAGATGATACATGGGGTTAGCAACATAGCAGCCATACTTTTGTCAGAATTATTTCCACTATCTTTTAGTGGTTTATTATAATTGTTTAGATATAAATAACGGGTGTATATCTTACAGTAATGTAAAATCGGATGGTTTACGGTTGTCAGATAATCTCCCAAATTAAACATTATTTCCCTCAAGGACATATTCTGAGATTTAAAAAAAGGAAGAGCCACAATATGTATCAAAAGTCTATATGTCTGTCTGTCATCTATCTATCTTTTACAACTCAATATTTGAGTAGCATTAATTATATATTATTATTATTATTGCCATTTATATAGCGCCAACAGATTCTGTAGCGCTTTACAATATTATGAGAGGGTGATTTAACTATAAATAGGACAATTACAAGAAAACTCACAGGAACGATAGGTTGAAGAGAACCCTGCTCAAACGAGCTTACAGTCTAGAGGAGGTGGGGTGTAAAACACAGGACAGGAAATAGCAATCAGGAGACAGGTATGTGAGGTAGAGGTTACTCTGGGAGGCCATAAACTTTTCTAAAGAGATGAGTTTTAAGGCATTTATTAAATGATTGAAGAATAGTGGAGAGTCTGATAGCGGTAGGCAGGGATCCAACCACTAGAAGTCCTGCAAGCGTGAGTTGGCCATACGGGTGCGAGCAGAGGACAGGAGAAGGTCACGGGCAGAGCGGAGAGACCGAGAAGGGTCATACCTATGGATCTGTGAAGAAATAAGAGGGGCTAAAATTGTTTAGTGCTTTATAGGTATGGGTTAGCACTTTGAATTGACTCCTATAGGATACAGGAAGCCAATGTAAGGACTGACAGAAGAGTGATATGTGAGAGGACCGACTAGGGAGGAAACAAAAACAGTATACCCTTCACTCAAGTTCCCCATGAATGTTCTGGCCTTCCACCAAGGGTGTGCTCTGTGTGTGGAATGGACACCTCTATATCCACCAAAGCAGTATCAAAGAAGAGAAACACAGGCAGCACTCCAGAATAATAAAGGTAAGTTTATTTGTGGGTTCACCACCTCACCAAAAAATAAGTGTGACGTTTCGGTTCCAAACAACCTTAATCATGCATAAGGGATACATCATAACAGCAGTGTTTAAATAACCCCAAAACCAATTTAGTTAATCAAAGATTATATTCACATGTTAAAACATATGTATCAGTGACATATAAAAACAAGGCATTGGAGTCACTGCTGGCCACTATCGGTCTACCCGGAGGATCTACCAGCCTTTTGTGTATCTTGGGTAATAAGTAAAACTTAGAAATAATAGGATGTTCTTTAATCAGAATTTTTTTTTAAAGCTTGATCAATAATTCCATTACTGGCTGCTCGTTCAATAATCAAATTATTTCCCTAGTAAGAGAGAGTGTAGGGTCCCTGGGTCAGACTTCATAGGTACTCTTATCACTCAACTGGCGTTCAACTTCCCTGATATAATCAGTTCTATTCATGACCAACATGGCTCCCCCCTTGTCAGTCGGTTTAATGATATGATCGTAATTATTTTTAAGAGATAATAAGACTCTGTTCAGCTCTTGTAAGGTTGGAGCCGTGATGGTCACGAGTGAGGGTATCCAATCTTTCCATATCTCTATGGATCAATTTAGAAAAAACTTAAACTTCTGTTGTCATAGGAGGACAAAAGGTACTGCAATTCCATAAACACAATTCTTTAGCGGTAAGGGCACCTGGGTTCTGAGGCAATACATCACTACTATCCTTGTGTTGTTAGAAAAAAAGATTTTTAGATTAATAGACCTAAGAAACCGCTCAGTGATTAGAAATAAATTACTGAGCGGAATTGGAATCAGCAGTACGGCAAAAAGAAAGTCCTTTAGCAAGTACCTTAAAGGACAACTATAGGCACCCAGACCACCTCAGCTCAATGAAGTGGTCTGGGTGCGACGTCCATCTAGGGTTAACCCTGCAGCTGTAAACATAGCAGTTTCAGAGAAACTTTTATGTTTACAATAGGGTTAATCTCATTGACAGCTGCTAGAGGCGCTTCCACGATTCTCACTGTGAAAATCACAGTGAGAAGACGTTGATGTCCATAGGAAAGCATTGAGAAATGCTTTGCTATGGACTGATTGAATGCGCGCGTGGCTCTTGCCGCGCATGCGCATTCAGCGCTGACGTCGGAAGAGGGAGGAGAGTTCCAGCGCTGGAGAAAGGTAAGAGTTTAAGCCATTCCTCCCCCTTCAGCCCAGTGAGAATGGGACCCTGAGGGTGGGGGGGACCTAAAGAAGCCATAGTGCCTGGCACTATAGTGGTCCTTTAAGTTCATTCTCTTTAAGTATGGTATTAGAGATATTAACCACTGTTAAGTCCTCCTGCTGGGATTGTACATCCCAGGTTGCTATGTCTTCTTCTCCCGGTCTGGATTCAATCTGACCTTCAGTCTTGTTGATCGATCGTGGTTTACTACGTCTCGTTTTTCTCTTCCTTGACTTTTCTGTTGATCCATGGCTAAAAAAGAATTAAAGTACTGTGTTTTAGTAGACATTTGATCATCTGAAGTATCCTAATCGGTTGTACCCAAAGCTGAAGAACGCCTGGTGGTATATGTATCACGGCGTGATTGCCAAGTAACCCGTCTCTTATGAGGGTATTCTCGATTCCTCTCATTAGTCCATTTATACACTCTGTTATTAGCATAATCCTCAGCGTCTCTAATGAATTTTAATCTTTTCCTTTGCTCAACTTCCAATTCATATTGTTCAATCTCCCTGTTAAGTTTGTTATTAAGAGCATTCAAATTTTCTAGAGACATCATGGTGCTAAGTTGATGTTGTATACGTGTAATTTCATTTTCAATTTCAAGAATATCTTTTTGCAAAAATTCAATGGTGACTAAAATGATGTCAAAGGAGCATTTATTTAAAATCTGTTCAAATCTCTTGCCGTATTCTATATGTATGGTAGGCAATTTTCATACAAATAAAACGAGACACACAATAACCACAAACAACATTTAATTACTTGGCCATAGTGTTTATTCAAAGCTCAATGGGCATACAACCATAACTTTGTAACCATAACCATATAACATATGGTTCACCAACTTTCAAAACTTTTAACTTTATTAACCACCAAAAAGCCAGTCAGTCATAACTAACCTGATCACGTTTTACTTAAAACTTTCAACTTTATTGCCAGTCAGTCATAACTAACCTGACCGCCTTTTATTTAAAACCATTTACCACCATATCCTTCCTCAGAACTTGAAACTGAAGATGATTTTTGCCCCAATGCTTCATAACACCATGACAATACAATTAAATAAAAGTCTGTCCGCACCGTTCCTGCTTCAGTCCACTTTGACAGGATTAAACATGTGCTGTTTCTTTTTATACTGTTCCAGTTTCCAGCTTGTTTTTTGCCTGCGACTTTCAACCAATCCCAGGCCAGCTCATACCCCCAGAAACAGTTGTGTCATCAATTCTGCCCAGATACCTGTTTAACTGACCAACTACCACAAGATGTAAAATTCCTCACATTTAAATCCTTGCCACTATAAATATATGCCACAGTGCTTAGTGCCTGTGGCTTCTTTATTATTTGCAAGTAAGGTAGGTCGTAATTTAATACGTAAACCATGTGGTATATGCTTGGTTTTAAAGTACTCAGCTAGTGTGATACAGTGTAACTTGCAATTTGTCTATTTTTTACGACATTTCCCCAATTGCATAGATAAATCTTTATCACCGGCAGAATTAAGAAATCCCCCTTGATTATGAGTACCTGCCAAAATACGATTGGCATCTTCGCAGCTACTGAGCAAATATGGAGCCTAACATGGATGGCAACACTACCTCAGGAGTCTATTCATACAGCACAGAAGATGCACTTATTTTTTGGTGAGGTGGGGAACCCACAAATAAACTTACCTTCATTATCCTGGAGTGCTGCCTGTGTTTCTCTTCTTTGATAGAGAGGAAATCAGTGTGGCAGCAGCAGCATTCATTACAGACTGTAGCAAGGCAATACAGATTTTGGTAAGACCAATTAGGAGAGGGTTACAATAATCCCTGCTGGAAATTACTAGAGCATGGACAAGCTTTTTGGGAACATCTTGCGCAAAAAAAGGAGCGGATGTAGGCTATGTTTTTAAGATGGAATCTACAGGATTTGGCAACATACTGGATGTGTGGCTCAAAGGTGAGGCCAGAATCAAGTATGACGCCAAGACAACGTGCTAGCAAGGATGGACTTATGTGGATACCACTAACTTGACGGGAGAGCGAAATAGGAGGATCAGTATTAGGAGGAGGAAAGACAAGGAGCTCCATTTTAGAGAGATTGAGTTTCAGAAAGCAGGAGGACATCCAGTCAGAGATGGAAGAAAGGCAAGCAGTGACACATTGCAAATGTGTATGTATAAACAAGCATAAGCCAAATACACTGAAGTTGGGAAAAAACAGTAAATCTACACTGGAAATAATTTCACAAATAATGTCATGTCCAACAATGAATTTCAGGGCCCTTACATACTTCATCATAGCATTCAGCGCTAAAGGCATCATGCTGTCTGGTCAAAATATATCTGATCATTATAAAATTTATATTCTTTTGATGTTATGGGCGCCACAGCTGTAGACATTATTCCAAAATGATGCCTCACTAGTGACCCATAAAATATCTTTATTCTGCTTGTGTTGCCTCTACCTACAAAGTAGAGTACCCATATTTGCTTTTCCCTCTACTTTGCAACACCAGCTGTTCACCTTTAAATTATCTGAAACAATAACTCCTTGGTCCCTTTTCTTCTGCAGTTGTTGTTAGAAAATTGGGATTGTGTGTCCTAAATGTATTATTCCTTTGCTGGACATTATTTTTGTAAATATATTGTGTGTTCTAGAATGCAATCACTGTGCCCCCTCTGCTCAAATGACCTTGATGCCTTTGATCTATTGCTGTTTTTCAAACACATGGGTCTCAATATATTTTATCAGTCTTATCCATATAAAGCAATGTGCTTTCAATCCCTTTTCACTCTGCACTGACTATAAAGTGACTTATAGTATAATACATTAATACTAATATTAAAAAAGTTCAATCTCAATTCTAAGGTCATTTTATTCTATGTAAGAACGTGTCCACCTGAGCTGATGTTTATGTATTATATGGCATGCAAAAGTATTTATAACAATATATATCTAGAGTGTTTATATGGTGCATATTCACTCATAAATTTTACTTTTTTAAAGTAAGGAGATGCTAAAAGTGATTGAAATGAGCCAACAAAGTCTTTGAAATGTGGATGTTTGCACTTTCGGTGTCCTGTTTTTTACTTTAATTTGTCCCAAAAAGGGGTTTTTATTTTTTTTGACGTCTTCTAACTTTACTTACTAAAAGAACGAGATTGATTTATAGAATTCATGGCCACAAAGCTGGCTTTCTATGATTTCTAACTGGTCTGAGTTCTATGCTTTGATGTTGTGTCTCTAATCCGTACTGTAAGCGTAACATTTTAATTTGTCATGAGCTTAATATAATACACAGCACAGAAAATTACAAAACAATTGTTGTTTGGGTAATTCAGCTCAATGCAACGTTCTAATTGACATCTTCATTTCCTCATTAAATCAGACACACTGTGAAAATGTTACTCTGCTGATACATTAAACCTTCATAACCAGCATAAAGTTGCAGAGCATAATGGTTTAAAAATAATGTAATGATATACAAATAAATTTATCGCCTTCCAGATTAATCTCCCATGCATATGGAAATCTATTTCTGCATCATAACTGTGTGCACATGGATTTGTCGCTTTCATCTTGTTCTTTCACGTCTCCCTTTGCACATAAATGTAGAGGGTGAAACCCAGGTCAGGCTGACAGTTTGTGCCTAATATAAATGACTTAGTGGGTTGCTTGCTCTTGGTTATTTCATAATGGTGATGTATACAATGTAATGTTCCACTGACATCCTGGAGTCATGGTCAACATTATTGTGTGGGAGTCTCAGTGATTTTTTGTTTCTTTCTTCTATTAGTCTCTGCACCTAAAACAGCTCGAATTCCTTTGAGATATAGATTAACTAATGTCAGAGAGTCATATGATTGTATGGTCCTGAACATAAATTGCTTGGTTTAATTATCCAGCATTGGAATATGCTGCTCCTACATGTAGAATTTATACTTTTTAAATTTCTGTTTTGATGTTTTAAGCAACATACTAAAAAATGAATAAATAAATAAAAGGCATATTGAAAAAATATATATTTTGCTTATTTAGAGAGAAAGGAAATGTTTGCATGATTCTAATAAGTTTGTTCATTGGAAGTAATATGTAAAATTATTCATTAAACCTCTATGCTGCATTAATTATCATAAGTTTAAAGTTACTTGTTTTGTTGTTCGTTTGTTAATGTAGCTGCAAAACATTTGTGAAACATATCCTATCACTGTACGTGTGTTGCCTCTTGACAACGAGATAAAGGATATATTAAAAGTGTTTGATCAGGTCTAGAAGAGGCCCAGCCAAGGATATTCAGAATTGGAAAATTAATAGTGATTGTGTTTAATGAGAAGAGAAATCAGAAGTCATGGGGTTTATTCACTAAACTAGATAGTATGAAGAATTTACAAGAAATTTGCAAAACCAGAAAAAAAGATGAATTGAAAACATTGGTCAAATTAATTATTTTTAAAAGTGACTATTTTTGGCATATATGCCTTGATCTCCATCTATCGTTTGATAATTGTCGGCATGGTGACATTTGCCGATGAGCTATTACAATAGCAATATGAATGCAATCACATTATTTTTCAACTACACCTTTGGCATTAAAGTTCAAGAAAAAAAGCCTTATACCAAACACTTAAGTAATCAATCACTCAAAAGAAGATTTGCCAATACATTAACAGAACCATTTTTCTCTTACAGAATTCATCAGCCTGAAGGTCTCGATAAACCACTGACAACATTTCACATCTAGTTAACTAACACCTTATCAGTGTCACTTTAAAAGGGAAAATGTATCTTAATTTTTAATGTGTCTAACAGGTAAAGCTATCCAAAGGCCAGGTTAGGCAGGCAAGTAGTCAGTCCAAGCAGTGTAGGTCCAGATTTAAAAAAAAAAAAACAGACAGAAGGTCAATACACTGGTAAGGAGAAACTGTAGGCTAAAGGGCTTTGATATTATAGGCAGGACAGCAGCTGGATATTTTTCAAACCTTTATTAGCAGCATAAAATAAAAATCACGTTGGCTCTGTCCTTGTATGGCCAGTCCTCAGACCCTTGTTGAACTTCTGCAGTATGTTCGGGCACTGGAACACGGCACAAAGCTTCCAAAGGATACGGGCTCACTCGGTGCGTCCTGACGTCGTGCGTCTGACAGCGTGATGACGCTGTCCTGCCTATAATATCGTGGTCCTGCATTCTGATATTTTCTGGGCTATTACAGTGAGAGCAGACTTCTACTGCTCCACTTTTGTGAGCTGATTGGTTTATTTTTTATACCACTTCTCCGCTTTTTTGTCAATTTTATACTATGTTTCTTTTTCTTTCTTTTTATCTCCTCCTGAGTTATACAACATCTGGGAAGATATGTCCACCCCTTTTTTAAAAGTTGTCTATGTAAGTGCTTTGTATTGTTTTGCACTTTATTGTATCAATTGGTCACTTTGTTAATACACTATTTAATGTATAAAGTTTTCACATTTGCAAAACTTCTTTGTATGAGTAGATGCACACCAATGTATGCACAAATCACTTAAAGGCACAGCGCACTTTTTGCTCTCATTTTTATTTGGTATACAGAGTGTTTTCTTGAGCTATTTTACACTTAATCAGTGCTGCTTGCCTTTTTCTTTCACTTGTTATTGTTCACTAGCGCCTTTAAT